GTCAATAAATGAACTGGGGAATTTAAGAACTAAAAATATGAGAAAGTTCGTATATGCATACAATAAATATTATTCAACGACAATATATATATTTATTACTGTCCGGAATCACCAGAAGAGACGTTGTTTTTATTAATAATGTTTAAGAGCATAGATTTCAAAATAACAACTTAGGTTATTACAGCTGATTAGTTTATGAAAGGGAAAAGTTCCAAAAAGGAAAAACACAGAAAACAAAGTGATCAACAAATTACATCGTGATTAATCGTAACTAACGAAAATATAAACCATCTCGTTAATTGTGTTAAACGAACTGTTTATTATACTTTGTTTAATTTGTACGGGTTTTGTCTCTATAAATCCAACTATTAATATCACTTTATAAATAGTTCAATGGGTTTCCCGATTATATTAAACAAATACATGTATTATATTATGTATTCTCCCTAATATAAATATATTATTAACAACATATTCGAAACACTTCTAAATAATACTCAGGCAAAGCAAAAATGTTGGTTTTATTTTTTTTAAAAAAGGAAAAAAACAAATAACAAAATAATAATTAAAAAACATTTTACCTATTGTTACCAACTTTATACAACATCGCTTTTTTTCCAACATCGGTTTTTTTCAGCCCCTTTATGTGAATGTTTTAATAATTTCTTTTTAATAACCTTAGAACGTTGATTAAAAGTTACTTATTTTCTATCCCCTCCCGTTGGGACCAAATATAATATACTATTAATTATTTTTTTAAACAAAAAAAAATAATTAAAACCATACTTTTTCTTTACATTTGGTACATATTGTGTGGAAGTGTTCATAACAGCACCAAACTTCAAATCCTTTATGAGAGCAAGAATGCATTTGAATTCAGTTCTTTTTACATGAACAAACAATCATCTTCATTTTTGGACACATATTATTTTATATTTTCTTTTTGAGTGTTCAAAGGCGTGTTCTTTATTAAGTTAAAATCCTTGATTAAACTAATCAATTTGGTTTAGTTAGTTGGTTGATTAAATTTAATTTTTTGTTAATAATTAATTATATTATATTATTAATAGAATATATTTAATTGAATTAATAAAAAGAACGGACATGATAACGAAGGATGGGTAAAATGGGTTAAAAGATGTACTTTGTGGTTTAAAGACGTCCTCCCGCTATTAAGAGCGTCCTGTTGTGTATAATGACGTTTTTTCTATTATTTTCGTGTTCGCTACGTTTTCAAAACTATGAATAGAGTTATAATATTACTATGTATTTACTATTAAAAATTATAATTATTTCCAAAAATACATTTTATCTCAAACAAACACAAAATTATAAATAAATTTATTATAAATTAATGGTTTTAAAAATTAATTTATTTTTTTATTTTATATTCGAGTCACTTTGAAAAATTATATTAAGTTTTCATTATTTTTTTAAAACCATTTATTTATTACAAAATTACTTGTAGTATAGCGTTTGTTTATAGCTGTTCGGCGACTTTACAGTTTTTTAAAAATCGCCGACTTTTTAGTGGTATTAAAAGTCGCTGACCTAAATATTTAGTTAAATAACTATTCAAAATACCATTTATCATTTAAAAGTAATTGAAAAAAATAAATTATATAAATTTAATATAATTATTATTAAAAAGTAAAATGAAACAATACCGTCCCAATTATATCTTCTCAAATCATTTTTTAAATTATATTTATATGATTATAATATAACAAATTATAACAACTATTGTGTTTTTACACATTTTTGAGACTATAATAAATATGGTATAATTTATTAAAGTTAATAGTTATTTAGTTCTAAAAGAAGTCGGCAACTTTTGAAGGGACTCAAAAAGTCGCCGACTTCTCAGTAATATCAAAAGTCGCCGAACAGCCATTACTCTTTTATTTGTTTTTAGAAATTATTATTTTTTATATAGTATATTCATTGTAAAAATATAAATCCTTATATAGTTTTGAAAACGCGCCCTTTATAGCGGGAGGACATCCCTAAACTACAAAGAAGTAATTTGGCCCATTTCCCGTCCTTCGTCCCTATGTCCGTCCTGTCTCTCTAGTTAATTATATTTAATCAACATCTCTTTTTTTCATAATTAAAAAAAGTGGATGTAAAAAAAACTATAATTTTTATTAGTTTTATTAGTTTTTGCTTCCTACGATTAATATGGGTGCAAAGAGACTTATCTAAAAATATAAATTAGATTTTCATTTTAATCATTTGTAAACTATTAAATATTTTTTTGTTAATTTTACAAAAATTTATACAAACATCATAAATATGATGTTTGTATTTCCTTTTGATTACAAACGATGTTAATATGATGTTCATATTATCTTTTAATACACAAACATCAAATTAATGATGTTTGCGTCCCTTTATGTAATAATTTAATCCATTATTTATGATTTTTAACTAAAAATCAAAAACGATTATTTGTAATATTTTTTTGTTCCATAAATTTTGCGTCTATTTTTATATTTTTATTCTTTACTATAAATTATAATAAATTATATGTTTAATATATAGTTGTTTTATCATTTTTTGTATTTTTTCACATATTTTTCAACCCTGTCAACTAAAAACGGTAACAAATTAACTATAAAATAGTTGTTTTTATTTCTATTTAACTATATTGAAAACCAAAAATAGATGTTACGGTTAGGGCAGGCAACCCGGCCGAAATCGCTTTTATATATATTGATATGAAAAACATTAATCAAAGTTTTCTTTTTAAAAAATGTTTTTTTTAACATTTTTTATTTGTGTTATATATTTTATAAATATAAAACTAATACTCATTCCCCGTATTTTGTTTGAATTAATAACCTTTTAAAAATCATTCTTAAAAACACTGAAATATTTAATTTGAACCAAACTTTTGTTCTAGTTTTTAGTATTATAAATTTTTATAAACAAAACCATATTTATAATACATTGAATCAGATACCGTTTTTCACGTTCCCTTGATATTTTAAGAATTCGGCATTCATTGAATACAATAACACAAAAGAATTTATTTTCCTTATATTTAATCAAAAACCACACCAAAAAAAACTTTTGCATCTAACGATCGACCCAAGCAAAAAGAAGCAAAAAGAATTGATCACAGGGAACGTAATCGTTATGTTCATTTGTGAACTACAGACCTTCAATAACAAATCAAGTTGATTCCAAAACAAATTGTACTTTATCTCAATTATCTTCCAACACTGCCTTGCAACATCGGTCACCGATACATTCATTACTTGGGCAGTCGATTAAGCACTTCCTGTGTTGAACAGAGTTCTTAACTTCTTGTTCTCCTACAATCCCAAGTTCAGTCTGGATAGTGGTCGAGTGGACTCCGTGTTCATGGAACACATTCTTGACTTCTTGAATAATTTCCATGACTCTGAACCGATCGACTTCATTCAAAAACAAGTGAATTGTGGCTACATTGGTTTCATTCGCCAATTGCCAGAGATGGACTTCGTGTATCGAGTCCACTCCATCGACAGCCAAGATGTCTCTCTTCAACTTCTTCATAGAGATCCCCTGTGGTATTCTCTGCATCAAGATTTTAATACAGGAGATGACCAATGGGACACCTGATGACATGACAACACATGCAACTATCAATGACAGTGCCGGGTCTAAATAGTACTTCCAATCCCCATCGATGAACCAAACACATAAAGCTACAGCAACAGCAACAATACTTCCTAAGGCATCTCCCATGACATGTAAGAAGACGCCTCTCATATTCAAACTTCCATGCCCGTGGTGTTCCTTTTCGTTATGTCCATGATCGTGCTCATGATCGTGATCGTCATGACTATGAGAATGATCATCTTCTTTAATCGTAGCACTTTCAATGTGACTACTGTCGATATCGACTTGAACGGGTTTATCGGTCGCACCGACTTTTTGGTAGTTGTCGATGTCGACTTTCATCTCCTTCTCCTCCGCTTTCTTTGATTTTTTCTCGGAATGGGAGTGCTTCTCGCCATGGGAATGACCGTGGTGGTGATGATCATGGAAGAGTAACATAGCAGCAAGATTAATAAAGAGTCCAATAGCAGCGACAATTAACATGACTTTGGGGTCGGTGATCTCTTCAATGTCAATGAATCGTTGGATGGCTTCGATGAAGATGAAAAAGCCGACGGACAACAAGAAGATGCCATTGACCATCGCTCCTATCACTTCCGAGCGGACAAAGCCGTACGTCAACTTCGAAGACGCTTTCTTCTTAGCTAACAAGATAGCGACTAACCCGATGACTTGTGACATTAAATCACTTAACATATGAAAAGCATCTGCTAACAATGCAAGAGAGTGAATGACTATACCCGTGATCAACTCACATAAGAAGAAGAGTAAGTTGACTAAGAGGAGAAAACTCAATTTGTAGACATTCTTGTCTTTGTACCAAACATCACTATTCGGATGATTAATAGCGTTCTTGGTCTCCTCGGAAAAGCCTTTGAGCTCTACCACTTCGTTCACAACTCCTTCCTCTGAAGTCGAACTGATATCATCATTCTTCTTGTCGTCGTCGCCAAAAGTTTGTACAACACTGGTCTCCATTAGTGTAGTTGTTTGGGTTTGGAGATGAGATGGACTCTTTTATAGCGGTTCATTAAGTCTTGTATTAAAACCCATTCTCTTTTGTTCCTTTTATTTCGAAGAGAAGTTCATTTTTTATTATTCTCTTTAGTTTACTCAATGGTTCACTATTTCGCTCTTTTTTTTTCTTTTTTGTGGTCCCAATGATGGACCACGAAAAACAAGATTAAAATCTTACACTTTTGGTACAAAATCGCACCTGTTTTCTGGGAAACTTGCATTTTATTATATTTATATTATAATATTGTTAATAAGTATAGTTTCGTAGAAAGTTTTTCTTTTGTCTGGTATATTTTTTAACGGAAAATAAGAACAATGAAATCTTACTCATTTAACCTTCATAATAGAATACAATTGCGTTTAACACATTTCGACACAAAAGAATGAAACCGATATACCAATCTGTGTTTTTTATATAGAAATTGAACCACTCAAAAACAAATACAGTTACTCTGTTTTCACAACAACAAACCTAACGCACTCAACCTTTCTGTTTCCGTCGACACAAGAGAACGGGGTGAGTATTTTTCTCATATCATAAGCGTCTTTTACGTCTGGGTTGATGATCACATTGCCGTCTTTGAACACCCAAAATGCAGAGAAGCAAGACAAGAGTCTCTCGTCCCTATCGGGGTACAATGTAAAGCTATCCTTTTGTTGTGTGTTCTTCATGAATATGACTGGAATAGGGTTAGATTTTTTCATCGAGAATAAGAACATCCGATTCGACCAGTTTGTTGTGGTCTCATTACCAGTGCAATTCACAAAGTCTTCATGATAGAACCCAAAGATGTTGTCTTGAGTCTCGACTATGAACGCTAGCTTCTGCTTGTATGAAATGAGTGAGCGTAAGTCACGAGAGTCAAAACCAGAAATTCTCGTGTCATACAATACCTCAAAGTGCTTTGAAGCTTTTTTGGATAACAAAAATGCATATAAATTGTTGTCCTTCAAAGTTATGGATTTGGCTATACTCATGCGCTGTTTGTTCGAAACATAACGTAAGGTCTTTTGTTGAAGATAAATGGAGTCTCTTTCTCGTTGAGATGTTCTCTTGTGATGCACGAGGAGTGAAGGTCCGTCACTTCTGCCAATAACATTTTTTGGAATAACATTTTGAGAAAGTTGTTGGGTACATAGCGACTTTGACGTTTTCGAGAGTTTTAACGATTGTCGCGCTGATTTGACCTGCAACATTCGTTTTTGCATGTCTAATGAAAGTTGGGATTGTGGAGTGAGTGTGGCACTGTTGCCCATTTCGTATGTCAAAGAGAGATTAATGGAAAGTGGATTTAAAGGGGTTTGTGTAAGTCAAAACGAAACCAATTAATGCAAACTTCAAAAATATGGAGTAATGGTATTGTCCAATTTTAAAAATTGTTGCTTTGATGTACTATATATTACTGTTAAATTAATTACAGTTTATAGTACAAAATTGTAGACTCTTTAAATTTGTTGTGATTTTTTAAATTCAACTCAAAAGTATCAAAAATCTTGAAGACAATTGTTGTTCTTAATTATCTGAATTAACAATTGAGTATATCCAAATATGCACTAAATTCGAAAATTAATTTTTTGAAGAAAAATATGAGTGAGCAATACTATCTATTATTATGCGTTTTCAAAACCACATCAATTCAAATTTTCATAGCTATAAATAATAGAATTAATCTTATAACTTAAATTAAAAATAAGTCTTTTTAAAAAGACTTGTGTTTTTTAAAATTGCTGACTTTTTTATTGAGAGGTTAAAATAAAACTATCCTTGTATTTCCTCTTACTGTATGTAATTTACATTGAAATTGAGTAAAATACAACTTTGGTGTCTTTTTTCACAATTGGAAACCAAAAATGATTAACCTCATTGATTGTTTTATTTTTTTAAACTTTTTATATTTACATTTAAAAGTTTTTTTTAAAAACATCAAAATTAAAATAATATAATATTCATATTAAAAAAAATAATTGAAATAAAAACTTACTTTAATAATAAAAAAATATTAATATTAAATTAAATCACATTTTTTTTTATTTTACGTTTATTTTATTTTAACGAGTTGATTTTAATACGAATTTGTTAATTAAAAAACTTAACAAATTATAAAAAAATAACTTACATTTTTAATTTAAATTAAAAAAAAACTTCCCCAATTAATTAATTAACGAAGTTTTTTAATTAATTAATCAACCACAATGAAAAAAAACACTTATAATAAAATAAAACTATAATAATAGAAAATGTCTTTGACTTCAAAATAGAAGAGACTTTGTGAACTGAAAACGACACAAATCAATGGCTGAAGCGAAACGTTTAAGTGAAGCTCAAAAATTAGTAGCCGAAGGTGAGAAATGTTTAAAGACGAGTTTCTTCCAGTGGTCTCCCGACAACACTGCTGCTGCTCCATGTTTTGAGAAGGCGGCTAATATCTTCCGAAGCTTACAGAAATGGGAAGATGCGGGTGACTGTTATAGTCAAGCTGCTGCGTGTTATGTTCGAGAGAAGATACCTCTTCCTGCAGCACGACAATATGAAAATGCGTATGACCAATACATGAAAATGTCGAATTGGAAGTTGGCTGTGTTTTCTGCGGAAACAGCGAGTGAACTGTATGTGGACACTAATCAAGAAGATCGAATCCCACAATGCTTAGTCAAGCTTGGAACGGCTTTGCAACACGTCGACGGCGTGAGAGCGATGGCAACATACAAGAAGGCACTCGATACTTTTGTTGAGATGAAGAAGACGATGTTCGCTGGACAGACGTTCCAAGTTGCAACATCGTTTGGTGTCGCTCAGAAACTATACAACGAAACAGTCAACTTTTTGGACTCGGCTATTATCGCACACACTGCGATGAAACAGGCACATGAGGTCGCAAGAGTTTGTGTATAGAACTATTATTAATAGAATATATATAGTATACTTCATGTACTATATTTTCTAATATATTTTATTATATATTAATGAACAGGACAGACTTTCACAAATACTGATTTACTTGTTTAGTGGCAATGTTAAAGACGCTTCAGAACTTTTGGATGACAAGTTGGACGACTTTGTAGGCGGCGACGAACATTTGTTAGCAGCCAGATTTTTGGATTCGTACGAGACGGGTAAAGTGGAAGTATTTGAGAAGTTGAAGACGGACGTGAGCTATAGATTCTTGAATTCAGAAATCGTCAATTTGGGGAATAACTTCCACATCCCACAAAGCATAATTGATTCAATGGAACAAAAAGCGAAGATGGAAAGTAAGAAAGCCCCGATTGAGTTCAACGATATTGCATTCAAAGAGAAAGAAGTCACAAAAACATCAAACTACAAACAATCCCATATCACAGAAGACCAAATGAAAGCTTTGAATTCAATGACATCAATTTTAAGCCAAGGAATGGTCGCAACGGGACAGTCAGTAGAGTCACAGAACATCAAAGATATGGACGAAGACCAGATGAATGAACTGCTGTAATAACATTTGGTTACTATTCAAATGTTTTTAATAACACTTTATGGTTTTTGTAATGGTATTGAGTATTGTTAATTAATAATTACATGAATTATACTTTATAGTTAATTTGATAAACTATTAATAGATTACACAATGATTTGTTCTTAAGTCCCAAATTATGTATTTGACTATATTTTGTGATTAAAATATCTATAAATATACTATAATTTGGCACATTTGAATATGACGAATGGAACCAGTGACAACAAAATGAAACTAGAGATATACTATAAAACATCTACAAAGTAACTAGAAAAGAAAATGGAGGCAAGCACTCCTCGAAAGCTCAGCACACAAATTGCGAGTGCGAATTTTGACGCTGTTGGATATATCAACGCCCTTGAGATCGACTTAGACAGGAATTTTGCGGATGTCTATGTGAAGATGACAAACACGTTTAACCAAGCCGAGAAAGATTTGTCGAAGCAAGTGATTAACTCATTTGACAAACTGGACTCTACGAATGAGTCTTTGAATGAAGCGTCACAAGAAATAGAAGAAGTCACTAAGAATATGTGGGCTATAAAAAGCTTCTCTTTATATGAAGAGGAACGAGTCTTTGGTGTATCGGAAGCGATGAGATCTTTGGGACAAGCCAAAGAGAATTTAGAACTGATCATACAACTCATCACACAACTAGATAGACTCAATGAACTTGTTACAAGCTTGAGCCCATTAATTAAAGGTAAAAAGGTGATTGAACTTCTAGATGTCATGCAACACTTGAATCCATTGATCAAACAATTTCGAGAATACAGTGACGTGGAGCATATTGGAAACACTTTACACGTGTACGACGAAGAGACAGTGAATATAATGAATGAGAGTAAAACCATCTTGTCGGCGTATGAGGAAAATACTATGAACAAGAAACAAATCATCACAACAATGCAAGTCATAGAGGAGACTGATAACGTCAAAGAGTTTGTTAAATGGGTCAGTGGGCATCTTATTAATGGGTATAACAACGCATTTCCAATATCAGGACCTTCGGCTGGGATTGATGGAGTAGAAAAGAGGTATACTTGGTTCAAGCAAAAGTATGAGGAATTTGAAAAGAAGTTTGAAGGAGTCTTTCCAGAGCAGTGGGAAGTGAAGACGAGTTTTATATTGGAGTTTGTGGATGCGACAAAAATTGCATTTGACTTGTTACTCAAAAACAAAGACCAAGCGAGTCCAAATTTTCTTAATGTGGTATCTCGGGCGTTACAAGCAACTGTAGTGTTTGAACGATTTGTGGTGCAAAAGGTGTTTGGAGAGCAGTGCGAACAACTGCAACAAACTATTGAATTCAAAGAGAAAACAAATCCATTTGAAGGTGGTGAGAAGACGACAGCGCCTATTAGAAAAGAACTGAATGAAAAAACAAGTAATCCATTTGATGAGAAAAAGATGAATGCACTACTACCAGAAAGTCATATTAAAAAATTGAATAACAAAGTCAATGACAAAAAGCCGAACCCATTTGGAGACGATTCAGACGACGTGAAAGAAAACACAAAAACACCACCAAAAACGAAAGAAAAAGTGCAAAAGAAGCCGAACCCATTTGGTGAAGACACCGATGATGATGAGAGTGAAGAAAGTAACATTAAAAAAAGTGATATGAAGCAAACAAAGAAACCAAATCCTTTTGGTGAAGATTCGGATGATGACAATGAAAAAAGTGATGGAAAAAAGAATACACAAACCGTACAAACAAAAAAACCAAATCCTTTTGGCGAGGACTCGGACGAGGAAGAACAACAAAAAGAAAAACAAAATATTCAAGGAAAGAAACCAAACCCTTTTGGAGAGGACTCAGACGACGATGTTAAAGGCGAACCTTTTGTGACTAAAAGTATTACAAAAAATGACACAAAAATATTAAAGAAACCAAATCCATTTGGTGAGGACTCGGACGAGGAAGACAACAAACAGTTAACTACTCAAATTGTGAATCAAAAACAACAAAAGAAAGTAAATCCATTTGGTGAAGACTCGGATGATGACAGTGAAGATACTAAAAAGCGTCCAATAGTCAAACAAAGTCCAAAAAGTGTTGGGAAAAAGCCGAATCCCTTTGGCGATTCTTCAAGTGACGAGAGTGAAGAAACCAAAGTCAATCCGTCGCCCATTTCTTTACCAGCGAAAATGGTTGACCCAAAACAAAAGAAAGAAAACCCATTTGGCGACTCTTCGAGTGACTCCGAAGCTTCAAAAAGTTCCACAAAAGAAGAAAAGAAGAAACCGACATTTACAGAGTCCATCAAGAATGCGATTATTAACACAATAACATTCTCTAAAGACAAAGAAGACACAACTAAGGTAGAACCACTTGAAGAAGATCAAGAAGAAGAATACTCTGAAGACACCCATATCATTAAAATAGGAATGTTATCAAAATGTTTTGAACCGTTTATGGTAGACATAGTCAACGCAGAGGCAACAACACTCCAAAAGTACATTTCAAAACAAATTGTCGAAGAAAATTTTGTGGCGTGTTTTGATGGGACTTTGGTATCGAGTAAACCCGTTCTTGCGTTCTTTAAAAAGGTCTTGGAGAGAATAGGAGATGTCACTCGAGGCACGCCATACAAGCGGTTGTGTGAAGTTTCGAGAAAGAGTTACGCTGACTACATCTTTGAAATTCAGAAGAAGATTAAGGCGGAGGCGATACTGAAACATTGTCAAGTAATTAATACTGCAGATGTCATGAACAAGAAGATGCTTGAACTTATTGAGTGTCGAGAGGGTATTGTGATGAGTGAAGACAATGAAATAGTTTCGATTAAAGAAGTGATTAAAGAACTTGTAAATTACGTACTTAACAACGTCAAAAAGGTGTTGGATAACTTCACTAAAGTGAGATGGGATATTGGGGCGGATAAAGTGGACGACAGCGAAGATTTTGCAAATAAGACGAACACTGTTATAGGCTGGAATTTCCAAAATATTAAAGGGAAAATATTAGCAAATTTGTACCTCATTGTGTGTTACGACTTTTGTGTTAAATTAGCACAAAACTTATTCTTCGATGTGTTCTTTAAGGTTGGGAAAATGTCTGAGAACGGCGCAAGAAAGATGCAGATGATATTCTCTTCAATTAAAACATTTGCACTTAAATTGAATGATGTGAATGGAGAGAGGTGCAAGATGAGTGGCCCATCAAAACAGATGAGCGAAGAGGACTTCATTACAAATGGAAGAAATGCTTTTAATGATATTGAAAACACACTAAAGGTCATCCAAGTGGAAGATAAAAATGTTGCTTTGAGTTTGTACCAACAAATATGCCCAGACAAAAGTGAAAGCGACTTTGAAAAGATTTGGAAAAGGAAAGAGTCTGGAGGAATCATCAAAGGTGGTATGAAGTACATCACATCATTTGTGAAATAATTTATTGTTACGTTATTGATAGTATTTAATAATTTAATAATTAATTATAATATCAAAATTAAATATAAGAAATAAGTATATAAAGTAATAAAAAATTAGTACAGTCGTAAAGTTAATTGATAATAAAATAATAAATTTGGATTTTTTGTCTGTAAACAGAATTCTTCCACTAATATATTATTTAATAAATAATTTAAATAATAATATTATTTTGTATTATTTATTTATAATTTGTTTTTAAACAACAATTGATAGTTTTATAAAACCAATAATTACTGAATGTTATAATTATATATAAAGTTTAAAAAGAATAAGTAAAAAATATAATAATAATTACTATTTATTTACTTTTTAAAATAAACAAGCACTAAGTTTCAAAAATTGAATCAAATTTTGACCAAAACAATTACTTAACAAGCGCATTTTTTTCTTTTTTATACCATTAACAAAATAGTTTTTATAAAACTACATTTTAATTAAAAAATTGTATATTTTATAGTTAACATTTTTTATATTTTAAAAACAGAGAAAGATATAACAAATCTAATATTTTGCATATTTCTATATAAATTTCTGATCGAAAACATAAAAACATGAAAAGACGAAAAAACTAAACATTTTCTTGATTTTTAGTCTACAGTTTTTATATGTTTTCTTTTAACAACTAGAATTAATTGTATATTTAACCATGTGTTATAACATTTGTCTTATTCAATACTTATTGAGTCAAATAAAAAAAATAATAAAGACAATTATTAAAATATCAAAAAAAATCTTTTTTAAAAATTGAATTTTTTTAGAAGAGGTGAAGAGTTGATATATCGACCATAATTTATAGTTTAGGAGCAGGAATTACCATTAAAAATCAAAAGTCGAGTTTGGTTTTAGAAGAGAAAAACTATTTCAAAAAATACTTTAAACAAGCAAAATAATTATAACACACCTTTTGAAGATTCTCGAACTCAAAAACTGGTTATTTGAAAATGAAACGCATAGAATGCAATACACCGGACGACATCATTGTTTGCTTATGGAAACAATAGTTTTGAGAACAACTCACACTTAGGAATGGTACACTGAAGCTGAACAGAGTTTGTTTCAAAGTCTCGAAACTATAATTTAAAAGTGGTACATAGATTCATGTGTTTACCCTTCTTTGGTAACAACGGATATCACAAAATTTACTTTTAGAATTGAATAACCAGAAAAAACTGATATTAAACTTAAACAAGGCTTTGACACAAATTACACTTGTATCCAACTCGCTTGCAGACTCCCTCTCCGACGTTGCTGTGCAGTTTGACGCATTTTCCAATTTCAATGAAAAGGGTTTTGTCTCCGACATGATGCGCAACGCAAATAACAAACTCAAAGCATTCAAAGGGATACTTCTCGACGTCAAACAGTCATTCACTCGAGCAGTCGAGTCACTGAAAAACACCGAGAAAAACGTTTTCCCATTGTTAACAACTATTAAGAAAACTGCGTATGAGATGTCACCAAAACGTCCCCTCGACGCTACTGCGATATGTAGTATCTATGCGTACGAGTTTATGGAAACGACGTTGATTGACATGTATTCGATTTCAGTGAATATCTCCCTTGATTTGAATCGACTTACTTCCACAGAAACATTCACTCCTGGAGAGTTGCGGTCGATGAAGGACTTCACAGTGCCGCGCTTGAGAGAAGACTTGAAAACCATCACAAAGACCGCAGTCATCCCCATCTCCGACAAATCGCTTGCAACTTTAATTGAGAACGAACAGATAAGTCAATACGAATTGCCTTACCACATTTTAAAGATGTTTCATTTCCTTTTCGAAGTCGGGTATGCCACTACGGGGATATTCAGATTGGCCGGGAGAGCAGATACCGTCGCTCTCTATGCGAAATTTCCGTCGTTGATTGAATACACAGAGGAGAATTCGGTGACAATAGCAGCAACAATCAAGAAGTTCATGAGAGACTTACCCGAGCCTATATTACCCAAAGAGGGTTACTCGATATTAATAGAAGCAGCGAGAGAGTACGACCAACAGAATTGCGACAAAGTAACTGAGGTGACTATTGATAACAATTTGGTCTTTGAAGACAACCCTCATATCAACTCCATTCACTTAGGTGGAGAGAAGACGCCACGAGACCTGTTCTTTGCTCGAATCAAAAGTGTGTTATCGAGAAATGCGATTGCGTCGACGGTGTTTCGATACTTTATCGAACTTGCAGTCAAGATATCGAAAGGTCCCAGCCTGATGACCCCAAACAATTTGGCCATTTGTTTGGCGCCGTGTATGTTACACGACGAGAAAGCAGATATCCGTGATTGTGGATTGGCTTCGATGGTTGTCGAAGAAATGATTAATGGGTATGAGGAGATCTTTAATACAAAAGCGACGATATTCTCATTGATGCGAAAGAACAAATTTGCGGACGCGCGAAGGGGGACGTTAATTTCTGGGCGCGAGAAAAAGGAGTTCATTGGGATGAGAGAGTCGTTGTCGAGAAGTTTGTCCCCACCTGTTGAGCTTGGGAGTGAGTTTTTGATGTCGTCCAAGACGCCGAAGAAAGTTGATGTACCTCGGGACCTCACGAGAAGTTGCCAATTACCTCTTTTACCACCAAGACCCAATTCGATGATGACTGGAAAGAGTGTTAAGAAGGCTCGAATCCGTCGAGAAGAGGACGAGGAACCGATGAGAAAACCGTTGAACAGAGATGCGAAGAATGCGTCGAAAGCCAAAACGTTAAAAGAGTGTAAAACGCCCGTTGTGTCGCTGTTCCAAGAAAATCAGTGGAATTCCATTGTAGAGGAGATGGAAGCGAAAAGAAGACAAATGGCGGAGAAGAGAAATAAGGCCCTTGGTGTGTGATGAATGTGTTGATTTTGTTGTTAATTTAAATTCCAATTTTAGTGTTAATTGATGGCTTTTCTTTTAACAACACTTTTACTCCTAAAAAGTGTCTTATTTAATAGAGTGAATGTTACATGTAGGAACTGGTGGTGTTACTTCAACAACATTTGCTGAATGTTTTAAGTCGTCTTGTAAAGTCCTTTGCATCTCTAAAAGTTCATTGAAAGTGAACTTTAAAATTAGAAGTTGTTATGCAGAAGATATTGAAACGATTCTCCACCCGTAACATCACACAAACAGCCCCAAATTCTCCTTTAAAAAAAAGTAATACGGCAACTAACACTCCACTGTCATCACCTCCTCATTTTCACCCATTTCGGAAACTCACCCACTCCGTAACGTATTCGTCAGACTTCCAAGACTCCGATTTTGAAGAACTCGACGAGTTGGAAAAGTACGAAAAACTGCCGGACGACTTGTTATTTAATGTCATAGAAACGACAATCAATAGACACGGCGGACGCGCCAAGTTAAAATCGAATCCATCGGAACTGTATGAGAAATACAATCATGTCCCTTTGTTTAATGAGATGTTATTAGTTGCTCTAAAATACGGATGCACACTGCTACTGCCTCAAAACATCCACCCCACAGTCGACTTCTTTTTGACACATTTGGTTCGGAGGCACCCAACCTCTAATAAGGCTGTCACACTGAATGGAAACTATGTCAAAATTTACAACGAACACATCGATGTGTTCTTCCAGCCTGAGAACTCTAAGACGTTTCCTTGGAAAATGTGTCTTGGCGTCTTCAAGAACTTCCCAAAGTCCTTTGATGATAACTTACCACCAGACATCGATTTGAATGATGAGAAGAAGACCCTTGGTATCGAAGACACCGTTGGTATTGATGGGAATGGACTTGTAATGACCCCATATGGCGACTTACCTGTTCTTCTGATCAGCAGACCGTTTAATCTTGAGGGGTGTTCTTGGGGTGTTAAATTTGACGAACTGAATACGTTTGAGTGGTGCGATTTACAACTTGTCCAAATCAACATGGACGCTTTTGATGGCGATATTGATGAATGGATGTACGTTGATGTCTATATCGACAAGTCGCTGAAATTTGCGATAGAGCTAGAGAACCAAAGTGAGCTTCACGAGGTCAAAGAGTACGTTGAGATTGTCATCGAGAAAATTGGGGAGATGGTGAGTGGGAAGAGCTTTGAGGAGATGAGCAAATTGTTTAATAAGATCGTGAATGGGATCATGAAGAAAGTGAATGGGATTTGTCTTGGGGAAAGTCAAGAAGAGATCCGGAGAGCAATAGAAGGGGTATTAGTTCATCATTTATTTAACGAGATATGGCCGCCTCTCATAGAAGAGAATTATAAGATACATCAAGATTTGTGTGACAAAGACAAAGAAATAGACTGGAGGATTCGGGCTTTACAATTTGTTCAATTGAAAGACTTTGAGATTGAATTTATGTCGAGTGAAGTGGGTCATAAAGGGATAGTAGTTACTATACAACAATTACGAAGACTGAATTCATTCAAAAATCCACATCAAAAAGCTATGATAATCATCTCCGCTCTCAAGTTTTTGCAATTTGTCATCCAAAAGACTTGCCCGGGAAATGGGCCGGTATCCGCAGACGTCTTCTTCCCAACTTTGGTATATGTCATCATTAAAGGGAATATACCTTATTTTGCGTCAAATATCGGATTCATTAAAGCATTCATGCAAAACCCTATTGATGAGCTGTCATATTATTTGACATCAATCGAATCAGTCTTTTGCTTCATTAAAGACTTGGAAGGGAAAAACATCGGGTGGGACGAACAAAGCTTCTACGAGGCTATTAACTTCTCTAAGATCCATTACTCGCCATTTGACTCCGCTTCTTTAAATGTACTCAGACCACAAAGGCAAATCAATTTACCGACATTCGAGAGAATTAAAGAGTCAAGCGAAATTGTGGGGAGAATGAAAAAGCAATTATTGGACGCTTTTATAATGGTGACACACCAAAATGAAGAGCTCAAGAAGCAACTTGACAAATAGAGTCAATCTATATTATTATTGTAATTTTACTATTTCAAAACTAGTTTACAGTTGAAGGCAAGTTTTATAGATCTGACACCTCAAACTTTAAAATACAATTAAATTTTTTGATTAATTTGAATAAATTTTTCTTGTTAGTATTTTACTTTCAGTTACTTATACAACTCAATAATAATTGAATATGGAACACCCATTCTCACAAAGAACTATTCCAATTGATTTCAGCCAACTCACCCCAAACCACATTGTCGAAGACTTGAATTACACATTAAAACTCACACAACAACGTATTGAAAATATAAGATCGATTGAAATGACTCAAGCAACATTTTTGAACGTGGTCGAGCCTTTGGAAATGGCGACTTACGAATTGGAAGATATCAAAATGTTGATTCTTCTCATTTTAAACACTCGAGGAAACATCACTGAATACAAAACGGAATATTCGAAAGTACTCCCAGCATTATCAACATTCTTTGCAGGACTTTATTCTGACTCAAAGCTTCTGTTACTCCTGGAACACGTCCGCGACAATTCCTCAACTTTATCCAAAGAGGAATATCGCCTCACTGAAATTTTGATTCGCAAATACGTGACTGGTGGCTCTCAATTGTCTACAGAAAACAAAGCCAAATTGGTCCACGAGAAAACAACACTTTCGATGTTAATGCAAAAATTTGGCGAAAATTTAATAAAATCCGTCGATGATAATTTTGTGGCCTTTTCAAGTGAAGATGAGTTGATAGGTGTACCTGCAAACAATATGGAAAGGTTTAAAAAAGCTGCTCAAGACCATAACATGCCAGGGTTTGTTGTGATGTTAGACGCGAACAGTTACTCTGCAGTTATGAATTATTGTGTTGTTGAGAAGACAAGAGAACTGGTGTATCGAATGAACAACAAATTGTGCAGTTATGGTGCAACAGACAATAGTGATTTACTTGAAAAAATCTTAGAGGAACGGGATGTCATCTCCCACATTTTTAACTTTAACGACTTTGGCGACTTTATTGCACAAAATCGGATGGTGAGCTCTGAAGATGCTCTCAAGTTTGTTGAACAACTTCATGATAAGATATACAAGGACTTTAAAGCCCAACTCTCGTATCTAATTGCTTTAAAGCGAAAAGAGACCAATGATCCCCTGTGTGTCTTAAAGCCATGGGATGTTGGGTATTACTCCCAGAAGTATTTGTTGCAACATTTTCATTATGACTCTGAAGAGTTTCGAAAGTACTTTACACTGTCTTCTGTATTAGAAGGACTTTTTAAAGTGATAAGAAACGTCTTTCAAATTGAAATGAAAGAGTGCAGTGAAGTACGTGGATGGCATGAAGATGTTAAGTATTATGAAGCATATGATATTAATACCAAGAAACTGCTTGGAGGCATTTTCTACGACTTTTTCCCACGAAAGGGGAAAAGGTCTGGCGCGTGTAAGGAAACGCTCTTTAAAGCGTTTGTGGAGACAAATAGCAACGAAGAAAAAATTCACAGCCCGATTGTGTATATCATCACTAATATTGCACCTCCACCTGTTGGGCAAAAAGAAGCGGTTTTGACTCTTGGAGAAGTGAAAACAATATTTCACGAACACGGGCATTTCATACACACAATTTTATCTGCGAAGAGATATGCAGCAATAGGAGAGGACAACGTCGAGTTCGATTTCATCGAATTCCCATCAAAGTTGTTTGAGAACTTCTGTTTTGAAGAAACGGTTATTGAGATGATGACACAACCTAATGGCGAAAAAGTGCCAAAAAACCTCCTCAATAGATTTGAGAACGCAAGAAACTGCTTTGCTGCAGTCAACTTTATGGCACAACTCAAGCTCTCGAAGATGGATTTGGAGATTCATAAAAATTACTTAAAAAGTGGGATGCATGTAGATGCATTTCTCGAAGAGAAACTTGAGAAGTACAGCATTCCGTTCGATGTAAAGTTCTTGTCTGGAATAAGGAAGAGCAAACACTTATTTGTTGGAGAGTGTTGTTACGCGGCAAGTTACTTCACGTACAAATGGGACGAAATGATGGCTCTTGACGCATTTGATTTGTTTGTTCAAAATGGACTGTTCAACGAAGAGACATCAGCGAAACTTAAGAAGTTTGTTTTGGAGGTGGGGTGCATGGAAGATGCAAACACAATGTTCAGGAATTTCAGAGGAAGAGAACCAAAGTGTGACGCTTTGATGATTAAAAATGGATTTACAGTGTAATTCACTTTTGCTCCTTTCATTCGTCTTATTGTTATTTGTTTGTTGAACACAATATTTTAATGGTAAAAATTCATTTATAACCATTAGAAATGTTTAATCTCATTTATACCTTTTGTTGACAATCCAGGTCTGGGAGATTCAACATTACCAACAATGCCCGAATAACAGTTTGGAATTGTGAGGTCTTTGTGTCCCACATTTGGTGCAGATCCCTTTGTTGTATGCAGTCCAGCCTTTATCTCGGAGTCCTCTTCTTCTTTTTCACTACTTCCTTCCATGGATGATTTGACTCGTAACTTCTTTGCAGAGTGAAGTCTCTTTGCCTTTTTCGTCTCTTCATCTCCAAAAAGATGAATCTTCACCTTTTTGCGTCTTCTTGTTCTGTCGTTGTTGTTATCTTCTCGGTCTTTTCTCTCTTCTCTCTTCTTTATTATCGAGTCCTGAATAACACTGTTTTGATCATTTTCTATTTCAATCCCACTGTCATCACTCGTTCTGTTTGCTCTTTCTTTTTTCTTGATTAAGAAATCTGTGTTGAACATATCATTGTCACTGTGGTCCATAAAATAGCTCTGCCCAACATCAACAACATCGGAAAATGGAATGCGACTACGTAACCCCTTATTTGCGTTGTACACTTCATCATTCAACAATCCACTCATGATCGAACTCCTCAAATACACATTGTTGTCTTTGTTGAGTCTTTTTGGCTTGGACTCTGTTATTCTCTTCTCATCCTTGTCATTCAACATGCTCATATATGTCCCCTTTTCGATTCTCTTACTTCCTTCCACTCTATTTTCTGACAGTTTTCTTAACAGTCTGTGTTTCCTTCAAATCTCCATTGTTTTCAAACCCAAAGTTCTGTTGTTGTCATTGTATATTCCGTTCTCTTCTTCAATTGTATTTTCTTTGTAACATCCAAAACAGTTCTTATATGTGCTATCTTGTTCCTTTATCTGTAAAAAAGAATTTGTTTTCTTCTCATTTATCCTTTGGAGTCGCTCTCTGAACGTGTTGTCAAACAACGGGAGACCGCTTTCATCATACTTCTCATTCGTATCCAAACAAACTTTGGTGTAAGTCGGGATGGTAAAGTCTCCAATTGATGCATGTTGCTCAATTTGGTCAACATCTATCTGAATATCACTTCTTTTTGTTTCATTTATTCTCTCTTCTTCAGCAATCACCTTTCGCTGGTATTCCAGAAATGTTAAAACACTCTCACAGCGAAGAGATTCAAGCGCTTCGCACAGTTCCGTTGGTGTTGGAGTTCCAGAGAGATTCTTGAGAGCAGAAATTAAACCTTCAACAACCAACACCTTCTCGTTTTGATCTTCAAGAGATTCCCAATCGTCAAACAATTGCTTGTGTTTCACAAGAGCATATTCAAACATTTGGAGCTCAACCATTTCATCACAGTTGCCTGATTTTGGTATCAGAAAATTATACCCATTCTCACCAATGATTACTTTGCAGCCATGGATAGTGTTGATACACCTTCTTGCTATACTCTTAATAATTTATAATATAATTATCAGATGTACTCATTTCAACAAAACTTATTGGCACTTCTTCTTTTGACCCTTCCTCGTGTTGGGCTGTATTATACAGTCCTGCCTTAATTGTACCCTCTTTGGTGTTGTTTTCGTTAAAGTCCTTTACCACACGAAATGAAACAAATGGAGCGACCAACTGAATTATCGGAAAAGCAAATGTTATAATGCATTCAAACGTGTTTGTAACAGCAGGCATTGTCTTTGTGGATGATCTGGTATTACTTAAACTGGAATTAAGATTGTAAATTTCATTATTGGAAAAAATCAAAAAATAGTGAAAAATATATTTAAAAAGTGCAAAAATTTCATAAAAATTAATTATATAAACTTAATCAAATAATACACAACTCATTTTTGGGAAAAAACAAAAACAAAAACAAAAAATATTAAATAAAAATGCTTCGATATTTACATTTAATGATTTGTTGTTATTTTTTATAAATCAAATTTGTCTAAATTGGTAAATATGTTCGAAAATTGCGGGGATGTTTTCTTTAAGTATTTTGTATTTAAAAGCCAAAAATTGAAAACTTTTTGAATATAAAAAGGTACTTTTTTTAATATAATTGTTCAACAACAATACAAATTAATATTTTTGTCAAAAAACCAAATACAGTAAAACCACCCAAGAGCGGGAGGGTGTGATAATTTTGTTCTCTCAAGAGCGGGTATTTTTGGCAATCAAACCTTAATTACCACTCTATAGAGAACTCTATTTTTAGTTTTAGTCTAAAAAATGCCCGCTCTTCAGAGGTACCGCTCTTTGGAAATTTTACTGTAATCAAATAAATATGTTTATTTTTTGAAAGTTACATTTGATTTGTAAAACAGTTTTATTTGATAAAAACAATTCAATCCACCAAAAAACAGAAGATAGTAACATCAGAAGAAACAGTTTATTTTCTCTGAGATTGAAAAGACCATTTGAACGGTTTGTTGCCAACACTTGTTAATACCCAGGTTTACAATCATAAAGTTTCTTGAAGTATTTTATTCAATACCACTGCAAGTCAGAAATTAATCAATTGGCTTAATTGGCTGATACTTCTCGTCTTTCGACAAAAAAATCGTTCTGAAAGTGCTATACATATTCG